TATCTATCTATCTATCTATCTATCTATCTATCTATCTATCTATCTATCTATCTATCTATCTATCTATCTATCTATCTATCTATCTATCTATCTATCTATCTATCTATCTATCTATCTATCTATGTACCTATCTTTGTGTATCTATTTATCAGTCATCCTTTTCAAACATATATACATACATCATTCTAAGTCCGTTTTTATTTAAATTTATCATTTATTCACCAATCTAAGAAAGCTCTAATTGATGACTGCTGTTCTTTGCTTCACCCCATTTATCTTTGTAAACATTGATGTCTTTATATATTTTAAATATAAAGTAATTTCATAAATGTATAAAGTTAGAAAAAAGTAGGAATAATTTTAAATAACATATTGTGGTCTAACAGGAGCTGGCAACTACATAAAAACAACCTTATTACAAAATTTAAAAATAATCCTAAACGTTTATTGTTTAGTTAATATTGATATTGCTTTTTTTTTTTTTAAAGCTATACTGTCGTTGAAAAAAATCACTTTTGTGTAAAACAAGCGTTGTCGTTTTATATTAACTATATGCATACGGGTATTAATAATTTAATATAATGTTGTTGTTTTTTTATGTAAAAATATAGAAATACAAAATAATATCTAGCCAGTTATTTAATCTTATTTTATTTATAAACTAATTAATTTTGTATGATATAAGTATTATTTCTTTTTTATTTTCATGATTATTAACATAAACACTTTGTACTATGCTTAATGTCTTATTTTAAAATAATTTAATATATTTTTATATTCATTTTTCTCTTTAGATAAACTTGGACACATCCTCTGCTGCTAACGATGGAGTCGTTGAAAGATTTCAAGAATTCATAAATAATAATCCTTGGTGCATAAATAATCAATGTGACGAAGGATATACCTTTTTAATGCATTCATCCATGAAAGGCAATGTACAACTTGCAAAGCTTCTTATTGACAAGGAAGCAAATATTTTCATTAAGGATAGGAAAGGCATGACGGCCCTGATGATTTCATGTGCAAAGGGACACGACAAAATCGTAAAAATGCTTATTGACCGTTTGAGTTCCATAAAAGGCATAAATATACTAGTTGAAAATCAACTCACCAACGTCAAAAACTTTATTAATGACACTAATCATGAGGGCATGACACCTTTAATTCTGGCGTCTAGGGGATGCCACGAGAGTTGTGTAAATCTGCTCATCAATTATAAGGCTGAAGTCGATCTCAAAGACAAATATGGCTATACCGCCTTAATGTATGCTTGTCAATATGGATACAAATTAATTGCCTTGTCCCTCATTAGAGGGCATGCTGATGTAAACATGAAAAGCCCTAAACGTGGAACAAGTTTGATGTTAGCTTCATGTAATGGGCACTATGAGATAGTTAAACTATTGGTGAAATATAAAGCTTTAGTCGATGAACGAGACGATAGGGGCTATACAGCTTTGGATTGGGCTTTAATTAAAAATGAATGCAAAATCATTGAACTTCTCAGAAATAAAAAGGCCAATCAAACATTCATTTAACATCAACATGTGGTAAATTTTATTAGATTTCCGCAACCAACCCTGCATAAATGAAAATTGTAAAACTACTAAAAAAACTAAAAATATTTTTTAAAAAACCCAAACTTTTAAAGATGTGTTTAATGATAACAATTAAAGTCTTTTTTATTGAGAATATATATTAAAAGAAAGAAAGAAATCACAGACGTAATGAAAAAGTGTAAAAAAAAAGATTTAAATTATTAGTTTTTTTTTTTTCCAAAACGAGCTCATACATATTTAAGATATTCAATTTGAGAAACATTTCTTTGGAAAAGATGATCCATTTTTGTTAAATTTGATTTTTTTCCCTCTCTTAGCTTTTATCTAATAATTTATTTTAATGCATATTTATAGTGTGTTTTCCTCCTTGTGTTGGTGTGTTTCATTAAAAAATACGATTAACTTTATAAAAACTACTCTCTCTCTCTCTATCTCTCTCTCTCTCTCTCTCTCTCTCTATATATATATATATATATATATATATATATTTAGATATATATACATATATGTATATAAATATGTATGTCTATCTATCTATCTATCTATCTATCTATCTATCTATCTATCTATCTATCTATCTATCTATCTATCTATCTATCTATCTATCTATCTATCTATCTATATATCGATCTATCTATCTATCTATCGATCTATCTATCTATCTATCTATCTATCTATCCATCTATCTATCTATCTATCTATCTATCTATCTATATATATATATATATACATATATATATATATATATATATATATATATATATATTTATATATATATATATATATATATATATACATTAAATATATATATATATACATTTTTAATCATTTCTATGGTTCCATTTTTCAATTACCAATATAGTTACCATTATTAGCAGCAGAAATAACAAAGTATGTTATTATATTAGATTCAAACAAAGCTATTTAAAATTACCTTTGTAGTTATAGATTGAGAAATTTAATTATGCCTACGTATTGTATTTTTCTAAATGTTGCGTATAGTTAAAATTTAATCTAACGTACATATTTGGATAAACGCATATTAATCTTTTAAAGCAATTACATTATATATATATACACTAGCTGACTTATTCGGCTTTGTCCGGGATTACATTGACTGATGTCTTTATATTAACAGAACCATACTATTTTTACTTATGGGGAGCACTGTATAAAATGGATACTAAAAATAAGTATGCTAATGCATTATGTTATGGCATCAGCTTATATATGTAGAACGATGTATCCACATTAGCTTACAAAACAGCTGCATAAATTATAAACATCAATTCAATATATTTTTTAGTTTAAAAATTGAATCTTTACCAAATACGATAGTCGAACAAAAAATACATTCGTTTAAAGTTTAAACTCATGTGAATACGTGGTCACTGGCAGTTTCAAACCGTTTACAAAAGCACACACCCTTTTTTTATAATATGCGATAGTTAAAAATTGATACTTTCCGGATAATTCAGTACATTTTAAAATATGTATGAAATATTTCAGTTAATCACAGTAGAATATTAGTAGCACTTTTTCGAATTCATATATTTAAGAATAACTCTATCATTTTACTTTTGCTTTTTTTATTTTGTGTGTGAACACCGTACAATGAATGAAATGCAGTATACTAAATGATCATGGTCTTTTTTATTGTTTTTATTTTACCTAGGTATTTTGTGTCTAAATTTTTAATAGTATTGTAATCATTTTTTTTATATAGTTGAACTTAATAACATACACAATGTCATTCTAACTATACAGAAACAAAAACTTCCAGGAATTTAAAAATGTCATATGTCATACTATAGCTAAACATGACACACATGTATACATCACATTTTAATACATCTTACCGTCCCAATCGTTTCAAACAAAAGGACATAATAAGTTTAGTTTATTCATTGGGTAAACTTACAGTCAAAGCTTTTACAAAAGAAATAGAATCGCATAAAACAGAAGGAAATGGATTTGTCACTACATATGTATTTTACAAACACAATGAAACGAACGTGTGTTTATGTTTATAGTGCTACTATTCCAAAAAAAAAAATCGAAAACAACACAGGGTAATGGTATACTATTTATTCGTGTTAATCTTGTTTCTGGAAATGCTAATGATACACGTGCCGTTATTTCTTATGACACAGAAGAAAGAAACACGTATTCTTTAAATTATCGCTAAATATTAAGAAATTATATTAATGGTGGATGGTGTGATATTGAATGTGTTACATGTGAACCTGGGTGTCTACATTTTCTATACCCAAGCTTAAAGAATTGCATTCAGAAAATACAAATGGCAATCTTTAAATATGCGAGATTCTAAATGTTTAACTATCATTGTGTAAAACTCATAAGGCTCTTTTAAACGTGTAGTATTTCATTTTTGGAGTAACAAAATATTATACGGCAGTATGTTTTGTTGAATAATTATGGAGAGAGAAACTATAGAATAACTATTAAATTGTGTCAATTTTGAGGTAAATTACTTTGTAATTAATCTAGATAGCACATATAAATTTGTAATGAATTTATATGGGTGCTGGGTGGCCGAATGGTCTAAACTGAGCAAAATCTGAATCTGGTGGTCTGGAGTTCAATTCCAGTCAAGCAATAACACCACCAGCACCCCGGGTAGATGAGACTCGTTAACCTTGGATGGCAAGTCATCTAAGAGAAGGAAACTCTGAAATCAAACCCGGAGATGGAGTCCCGAAAGGCGGATAACATTGATAAAATGAAACATTCCGGCAACTCCTGCGACGTCACTGGTGCCAAGCTGTATCATCCAATGTTGTTCCCTTGGGGTACCCAGCGGCGTGGAGAGAGGCGATTTACTGTTGGGAACCAGCCTATAATCCTTGAAGAATAATCCCAGGCCATGTGGATTTCGTCCTCCAAAGCCCACTCCATCGTCACATTGTGGCGGATGGATGCCAGCATATATATATTTATATGTATATATAATTTTTTTGATAATGGGTTCTGTACATACTTATAATGTTTGATCTTTTGTTCCTTTTTGAAACATCAATGTATCTTACAAAACTACCCTTGTCATATATAGCTTTAAACAAGTGATTGTCTATAATATATATACATATTTTTTTACAATTTTTTTATGCCTGACAATGTTGTGAAGATTTTTGTATACAGCTAATGTTAAAGTGAGAACATAAAATACATGAGACTTGAAATTATTTAATTAATTAAGATATTTTCTTTTTTAGAAAACTTAGTCGTTTGCACGCCCCCTCCCCCAAACTTTATTTCTCTGATGATGAAAGGTCACCATTTCCTAAGGGTCTAAAATGTATTCCACAGAAACCATCTTGCGATCGCTACCTAGCTCTTTTGAATTCCTACCGCTATTTTCGTTCCTTTAGACTTCAGTTTCACTTTACTTGGAAAAAGTACCGACCTCCCCGTTGATAAGATTTTCCAGTTTTATAGCGAACGCAAATCCAATTGGACAGCACCATCTAATTAATACAAAGCTTTAAACTTGTTTATAAGGAGCACGAAACACCTGTTCTGTTCATTAACTTTGCAGGCTACTTTCATTTCTTATTTCTGAGACGTGAGTCAATTTTTTCGACATTACAGTCATTCTTCACAAAGACACCCTACTCACCTCTGCCTACTTTAAGCCAACTGACATCCATAGCTATCTACTCTACTCTTCATCCCAGCCTAAATCCTCTAAAGACTCTATTCCTTTTTCTCAATTACTTCATTGAATATGTCGTTCGGAGGAGTATTTCGGAAACTCTTTCCAATGTAGGTCTCGCCCGGAGATATTACTTTCATCAGCCCTTCAAAAGATTAACAGTATTTACCGTGCTGATGCCTTCAGGTCATGTCTGAGTGACAATATTAACAGGACCAAAATTATTATCACTTATCACCCATACATTCTTATAACTAAACGAGTTTTCCTTCAAAACCGCTCTATACTACTTGCAGACACAGACACACGAGAAATTTTCTCTTTCCCATCTCTCATCGTTTTCAGACGGAATAAAAAATCTGACAATTATCGTGTGCGGTGTCGTATCAATGCTCCCCCTCAAACTCAGCCGTTGCAACATTTGCACCTTTGTCGTCCAAGCTCAACACATACGTGTCCCTAAGGGAAATTTTAAGATTCGTGACGGTTTTCTTTGTACAAGCCGCAATGTTGTCTACACCATTGCCTGTACCCTCTGCTAGATGACGTACATTGGGGAGACTGGACGAGAATTCAGACATGTGTACAAAACACCTCCGTAACATTACACAAGATAAACAGGAGCGCGTCTTCAAACACTTCAATAGTAGTGACGACCAGAGCAAGACAGACTTTTCGATAAGTGCGATCGTGGCTGGCACGAACACACCCAGCCGGGTGAATTTGGAACACATCCGTACACTTATGGCACTTTAACGCCACATAGTTTGAATGTCACGTCTCTTTTCACAGCTTGAACCTAGCTCCGCCCCTCCAGGTCCCGAACTATCGCAGTGGATTTACTTTACATCTTTTCTATCCCTCTTCCCTATTTAATCGCTCACTCACTTACTTTCTTTCATAATTCATTTGCTGCTTACGGACACTACTTCTAGGATAAGTGCTATTTTGTAAAATCTTTACTGTTTTATCTGTTGCTTTGTTCGCTGACGAGGACTTCCTGCCGACACTTCGTTGTTTTGTTGCGTTTTTTTTTTCAGGTTTAAACCTACTTTGTTCACTCATTTTTTAGTTAGAATCATATATTTGTTAAATAAAGGAGATTTATATTTACTACTCGAAAAACAATTCAGTCTTTTTCGGCTTTGTTTCTACAAAAATGAAATAATTTTTTGTTTGTCATTTTAATTGATAGGTTAAAACATTTTCATTGCTTCGAAAGAAACATATTAAAATCTGCATGATTCTCGGTGAGATAAAATAGAAAATTACATATTTCTATTGTTTTCTTTATTCAAAATGCATGGTTGTTTTTATTTGTCGTTATTTTTGGTTCGGATAATATTTTCAAATAAAAAAAATAATATTTTTAAGAAGTTATTTTACCCTTATTTGATATAAATATATTTAAACTGGCCAGAACCTGGCATGTCAGCAAAATATAGAAATTATTGATAATGAAACAATGAAAACCAACATTTAAGATATTTTAACAAAACAGAGGAGGATTACGAAAAATATGTCATAAGGCAGATTTAAGACCAAATGATAATCC